TATTCTAGTTTCATTTTCCCCTAGATATGTTTCTCCTCGCATCTATACTTTTATTTGCCTTCTCTTGCGGTGTAAGGATAGGCTTGTGGTTAAAGCGTTCGCTCGTCACGCTGAAATGCGGATTCGATTCCCCACATGGGGGCAGTGTGTGAACCCTCTTCCTTGTGACCCCCGGCGAGATATTGCTGGAATTTTGCTGAAAGCAGCGTAAGACTTGACTCACTCACTGCGTATATTCCCATGTTTTTCTATCCCTTTCTGTTCCGCAAGCAGGTTCAAATAAGGACATGCTTAGAATTTGACAAACTTTTAAAACCCGTACTGCCATCCACATTACCCTTAGAATCCGTACTGTGATCAATATTAACCTTACAACCAGAACTGTCATCCATATTGCTTTTAAAACCCCTACTGTCATCCATATTAACCTTACAACCAGTACTGTCATCCATAATACTTTTAAAACCCCTACTGAATCAATATTAACCTTATAACCCCTACTGTCATCCATATTACTTTTGTAAACCCCTACTGTCATCAATATTAACCTTACAACCAGCACTGTCATCCACATTACTTTTAAAACCCCTACTGTCATCAATATTAACCTTATAACAAGTACTGTCATCCATATTGCTTTTTAAACGCCTACTGTCATCCATATTAACCTTACAACCAGCACTGTCATCCATATTACTTTTAAAACCCCTACTGTCATCAATATTAACCTTACAACCAGCACTGTCATCCATATTACTTTTAAAACCCCTACTGTCATCAATATTAACATTACAACCAGCACTGTCATCCATATTACTTTTAAAACCCCTACTGTCATCAATATTAACCTTACAACCAGCACTGTCATCCACATTATTCTTAAATCCCCTACTGTCATCAATATTAACCTTACAACCAGTACTGTCATCCATATTGCTTTTAAAGCCCCTCCTGTCATCAATATTAACATTACAACCAGTACTGTCATCACATTACGTATACCCCCCCCCCCCTCCTGTCATCAATATTAACCTTACAACCAGTACTGTCATCGATATTACTCTTAAAACCATAACTGCTATCAATATTGACCTTTCGACCAGTGCTGTCATCCATTCTTAAAACCCCTACTGTCATCAATATTAACCTTACAAGCAGTACTGTCATCCATATTACTTTTAAAACCCTTACTGTCATCAATATTAACTTTACAACCAGCACTGTCATCCATATTACTTGTAAAACCCCTACTGTCATCAATATTAACATTACAACCAGTACTGTCATCCATATTGCTTTTAAAGCCCCTACTGTCATCAATATTAACATTACAACCAGTACTGTCATCATATTACGTATCCCCCCCCCCTCCTGTCATCAATATTAACATTACAACCAGTACTATCATTCATTCTTAAAACCCCTACTGTCATCAATATTAACCTTACAAGCAGTACTGTCATCCATATTACTTTTAAAACCCCTACTGTCATCAATATCAACCTTACAACCAGTACTGTCATCCATATTACCTTTAAAACCCCTACTGTCATCAATATCAACCTTACAACCAGTACTGTCATCCATATTGCTTTTAAAACCCCTACTGTTATCAATATTAACCTTACAACCAGTACTGTCATCCATATTGCTTTTGAAACCCTTACTGTCATCAATATTAACCTTACAACCAGTACTGTCATCCATATTACTTTTAAAACCCTTACTGTCATCAATATTAACCTTATAACCAGTACTGTCATCATCCATATTACCTTTAAAACCCCTACTGTCATCAATATCAACCTTACAACCAGTACTGTCATCCATATTGCTTTTAAAACCCCTACTGTGATCAATATCAACCTTACAACCAGTACTGTCATCCATATTGCTTTTAAAACCCTTACTGTCATCAATATTAACATTACAACCAGTACTGTCATCCATATTACTTTTAAAACCCCTACTGTCATCAATATTAACATTACAACCAGTACTGTCATCCATACTACCTTTAAAACCCCTACTGTCATCAATATATAAACCCTACTTTAGTACAAGTACACACCGGTAGTATGTCCTAGAAGTTTCATGTTTCTACCGATAACACTTAAGCAAATTCTCAACGTCATAAACACATTTAAGCCCTAATCAAATCATCCGATATACTTATCTATTCTAAATATAGATAACATCCCCCCTGAGGTCAGTATCTGTATAAAAACAACTTGAGCCACATCCGTACCACTGAGAGGTCCACTTACATACTCGTGCCAACGAATTGTTTTTATGTTATTTTGTCGCGATGTGACTTAACAATATTTCGAAAAAGGAAAATAATACATGTGCAGGAAATAAGATACACGTGAGTTGGTAGCGATGCTGGATGTTGGGTAGACTAATGCTTCCTCTCTAAATATATATAAGTTCAATGGTAACAAACAAGCCCATTTAAATTGAAAAGGAGCCCCAGGGAGACCAGAGAACCTGAGGGAATCTAGACTTGCTTTACTTAGCGCTTTAGTATTGCAGGGAGGGCTTGGCAGTAGGGGAAATAATGTGGTTCAGGGACTGTGAGACAGACTAGATGTTGGGTACCGTAGCTGATCATGGGAAGATGTGTGGGTTATTTCAACGTTGACGCTGTGGACTGGGAGATGAGTTGAGGGGCGGGATGTTGATAAACTGGGGGAGAGGGGAAGGGGTATATGAGTTGGCAAGGGTGGGATGTTGGCTGATGAGTTAATTATAACGTAAAAGGCAGGTGTAGATGTGTCAGTTAGTAAAATGGACAGTGCTATGTTGTGGAGAGTTTCTTGAACCAGGAAGACATTTGAGTCGTAATGGATATGGGAAGGACGGTAAAAGAGGGCGTGTAGGTTCTAAAAGTCACGGCATGGAGGGAAGGAAAGGCTGGATGCTCGCATAACGGGACAGAATTAGTTGAGGGAAGGGCGTGTATGTGTCGTAGTTTCATAAGCAGCAGAATAACATGAACAACATCAGGTTATAGGTAACATGCAGCACATGCATAACTGGATTCTGATGTTACTTTTAAACCTGGCGCTTATCACAGCATATTATGCATACAAATCACTCATAATTTGGGTTTAAGCAATCCAGCTTGATATGTGTGAGTGAGTGGTGTGTGAGAGAGAGCGAGCGTGTGTGAGTGAGTGAGTGAGAGAGTGTGTGTGTGAGAGTGTGTGTGTTTGTGTGTGAGAGAGAGCGTGTATGTGAGAGAGAGCGTGTGTGAGAGAGAGTGTGTGTTTGTGTGAGACAGAGAGAGTTTGTGTGTGAGAGAGTGTTTTGTGCGTGTGAGAGAGAACGTGTGAGTATTAGAGAGAGCGTATTTGTGTGAGAGAGCGTGTGTGTGTGTGTGTTTGGAAAGAGCGCGCGCGTGTGTGTGTGAGAGAGAGAGAGAGAGTGTGTGTGTGTGTGTGTGTACATGCCTCTATGTCCTCACATCATCAAGAACGTCAATCTAACATTCGGCACGAAATGCTTTATTTGCTCAAACACCACGTCCCACCAGTCTAACAATAACAACCTATTCCAAGGATGTATTTCAAGACGGCTCCACTCCTACCGGTCTTTCAGGGGGCAGCAGCCGACGACAACAGCTATGTACAAGCTTTACATCGTGTATATTTCAGTGATCCGCGGAAGCACTCTTATTGAAATGTCAACCCTCAGTCCCGTGTCACAGCGAACACGAGACATCTTTCGTCACGGCTTCATCCATCACGTTTGCTGATCATACGGGCTCGGTGTTGTTCAGCGTGGACGCCTAATGAAACATGGCGTCGAACGTCAAATATGTTAAACGTTATTTATGGGTGTTTGTAGACATTGTTGATGGCTCCCGTGTAAACAATGACAGACCTCCAAGGTTGAAATGATTCTGCGAAGGGTTTCCGATTCGCTATTTGTATATTTGTATTTGAGCAAATTACTAGAAAAACAACAACACGATTTTATGATTGAAAGCTGTGTGTTTGAACCTTCTCCACATCATGATTATATGTAAGATGCGTTATCATACATGAGTGAGCTTAGTTTTACGCCGCTTTTATCAATATTCCAGCAATATCACGGCGAGGGACACGAGAAATGGGTTTCACACATTGTACCCACGAGGGGTATCGAGCCCAGGTTTTAGGCGTGATGAATGAACGCTTTAACCACTACGCTAACCCACAACCTTTACCATGCAACCTTTACCAGCATACTTAACAGTAACCCACATGCTTTTATTTCGAGAATAGAGTGGCCTTTTGAGTAGCTGAATGGTTTGGATACATTTCTGATTCCCTGAATCCTGTTTTGCTTTCGTTGCTACTGTCATATAGCCTAGTTTCAATTTGTCTTGAATACTCCTGTGAAATTGTTTTTCATTTTAATATTGACATGGTGTGTTCTACATTTAAACTGTGATATTTATCTTACTGTTTATAGACCGGCGCCACATTGCTAGAATATTGCTGAGTGCGGCGTAAAACTAAACTCACTCACTCACTCACTCATCGCTCTATGGCTGCAATATTGCCAATACAAAGTAAAATCATAACTCACTCACTCACTGAGTCTAGTTACTTTGAATTAATGACTCCCAGGTCTTGTTTACAAATCACACCGTATGTATTCGATGCTCTGAGAGATCACTTTGAACTGTAATTAAATAATTTGGTTAAAATAAATTTGGATAAGTAACAACAAATCAAAATGCTTGTTAGTCATAACTGTTGCCCGAGATTTTTCATAAATTATGAAATCTTGCGGCCTTCACTTCTTCCCATGAAACAGACCACACATGTACGTCTAATACGTTGATAAACACAATAGTGTGTCGTTTATTCCCAGCTCGTGCTGTCATTCTTCTTTGTGTAATCATTTCCCGTCAATAGTGAAGTCTCATGGAAGTGTTCACTTGCTCTCACAGCACGCCCCAGCAGAGTCACGTGACGCCTCCGTCACGGAGCCAATTAAAGATCGGGAAATCCAACACCGCGGCGCGCTCAGTTATATGAGCGTTAGGAAGCGAGCGAGCGCTAATGCAAGTAGTCGTCGATTTCTAACTATAAGCAAAATGGATAGCTCGTGGATATACTGTGTGATATGTGCTCTTGTAATATTCCCATACGGAGGTAAGTGAAATATGTATATTTCATGTCAATTTCATATGGCAACTCCCACGTGACAGTGGCGCCAAGATGGTTCTGCGAATCAAGCATGTGTATTGTCATGGTAACAAGGATTATTTGTATTTTTTTATCAATGACAAAGGATGGTGCTGGTTTTATAAGTCCGTTAATTCCCAATAGTGCTGTTCAATTTCACATCGACACGAAATTGATTCATGTTAATTTCTAATGAGTTCATTATATCAGAGTGTATGAGTCATAATAGAGCACAGGGCTACAGGCTGTCCCATTGAGATCATAACAGTTCTTTGTCTCATAGAACAAGGAAATGGTCCATTACTTTGCGCCTAAAGGAGGGCCATTCCTTTCAAAACATACACGATGTGGTGGTAACGAGAATCACAGCTCATTGAACACCGATAGTCATATCTGTTTGTTTCTTGTTAAACTGATAGGCTTGATATCGACATTTGAATAACAACGTACGTGTCCTACCAGGTTCTGACGTGATGCCTTTCCGAATCATTAAAAGCGAGTAGGTTTCACTTTACTGACATTAGTCATGATATTGACATGAAATAGACAAATAAACATGTTTTTGGCACCATAATTATTAAAAAAATATACGTATTTTATTTCACTATGCATTGTAGCATAAACATGAAATAGACAACTGAAAAATTACGTATTACCATATTTTGAGAATATGAATATCTCTATAACAATATAATCACAAGCACTTGTAGTGATATTGACATGTAATAGACTATATATAATATTGTGGCTTCTAAATTGTATTTCTACACTACCGTTGATTTATGACAAAGTTATGGTTATTTAATATTAATTATTATTAACAAATAAATTCCGTCATGTCAACAGCCAACCAAATCAAGATCGCTAGCGCTGTTACGTTGTGCAAGGTCGTCCTTCCCATAGAACGGAAAAGGCACACATTCAATGTTACAGGGTCCTACGGGAAGGAGTATAAGGAGGGCGGTGCTTGTAGCAGAGAGGAAACAGTGAAATTATAGAAAGTGTTACAAAATACGCTACACGCCTTTATTAGTCAGGTGTCATGTTCATATTTGACGTAAACGCTCTATTATATTATCCCGTTCACGGTCCGCTGGATCTGACATTGTCACGACTTCCAGCCCTATGTAGCAGGACCCGCCGAAACAACGATGTTATGGCCTTTACAGCATCACCGTGTGGTACGACGGTGACAGCCTTCCTGACCTCACCGTTACGTTACTGTTTACTCGCTTTGACCTTTAGGGGAGTTAGGAGTACTATGTTTATAATTATTATTGATATCATAAGTAGTTGTCGTAGTAGACCACTGCCATCAACTTGATCATCGTCGTCATTATCATATGGTACGGCGGAGACAGCTTTCTTGATCTCGCCGTTACGTTAATGTTTCTCACATTGACCCTTAGAAACACGGTTAGTTAGGTTTACTATGTTTATAATTATTATTGATATCAATAGTATACCACAGTCACCAACATCATCATCATCATCATCATCATTATCATCGTAAGCATATGGTACGGCGGAGACAGCTTACTTGACCTCGCCGTTACGTTAATGTTTCTCACATTGACCTTTAGAAACACGGTTAGTTAGGTTTACTATGGTTATAATTATTATCAACATCATTTATCATTTAAGATTGCTATTATTATAATTAATATTAATGTCATTAGAAGTAGTCGTGGTAGACCACCACCATCACTACCAGCACTACCACCGCTATCCCCTTCCTCCTCCTGATCATCATTGTCGTCATCATCATCGCCATCATCATCATCATCATCATCATCATCATCATCATCATCATCACCATCATCACCAAAATAATCATCATCATCATTTTCACCTGCCAGCAGGGTACAATAAGAGAGATCAGTGCAATCAGCAGTACGCTAAATACGTATCCATACTAATAACTATCCACTTTAATGTGCACCTACGTATTTTTTTATGTGTTATTTACGTATTTATCCTTGGGCTATTACATATTCCCTGTTGTACATTGCAGTGAGTCAGACATTAGGTGCACGTTATAGATCAGCTTGCCTAAGTTAAAATTGGACCAATTACGATTCCTCATGCACTTATATATAGTATTCCCAGAAATTATTGAGAAAGTTGTTTCGGCAAATATCTAATACATGTATAGAAACTATAGAAGTTTTACTTAGACGAATATGTTGAGATATGATTCTTTTACAGTCTAAGTGTCTTTTCAGTACTTTGTGTGGAGACCTCCTTGCCCTGCAATACACGACTGAATGCGCATAGGTACACTACCTATCAAATTTGTAGGAAATCGTGTGACCGCGTATTCCAATATTCGACCACTTTTTTCGTCATATCCTCAATATTTCTAACTCCTTTTTGGTTTATTAAAGTAACACCTATTTTAAAATTCTATTATCAGTATTAGGAAACAAAGATTTTCTCAATAATTTTGGGAAAACTGTATATTAACGGACTAATTAAAGCCGGACGAACTGTTAAACACGGGGGGTACTTTCCAAATCCCACGTCACTCACTAGCTTTTTTATGGACATAATATAAACTTCGTATACAACTAAAGTTATATAGATTGATAGCAGCAGAATACTTGTACTGCTGCCTGCCGTGTGAGTGTTTTGAGTTTTTTATAACATGGAGCAGAGTTGGCCCAACCGTTTAGGTTGCTATGCAGAGTTACGTCCCTTGGGTACGCCAGACAACTGTAATTGTGGGTTCGAATCCCGGGTTGCCCCGATTGTGTTTTTAGGTGGATTTCGCCTGTTTGGTAAACTTTAGAGAACTGTATCGCTTTTCTCCATCATTGAAATAACTGGAATACCTTTTCAAAACAATTTCTCTAACTCCTCATATCACCCTTCTGTCTGGGGACGAAGTCGGTACACCTACAGAATACCGGATGCCTACCAGCCATATCGTTTAGTGTCACGCTAACCATAACCATAGCCCTAAACCTTACTTAACCTTACCCTTACCCTTACCCTACCTTACTCTTACTCTTACTCTTACTCTTACCTCTTACTCTTACCTTACCTTACTCTTACTCTTTTACCCTTTACCTTACCCCTTTACCCTTACCCTACCCCACCTCTTACTCTTACCCTTACCCTTACCCTTACCTTTACTCTTACTCTTACTCTTACTCTTACTCTTACTCTTACCCTTACCCCTTACCTTACCCTTACCCTTACCCTTACCTTACTCTTACCCCTTACTTTACCCTTTACCCTTACTCTTTACCTTACCCTTACTCCTTACTCTTTACTTTACCCTTACCTTACCTTTACCTTTACTCTTACCTTACCCTTACCCCATACTCTTACTCTTACTCTCACTCTTACCCTACCCTTACCCTTACTCTTACCTTACCTTACCCTTACCCTTACCTTTACTTTACTCTTACTCTTACCCCTTACCCCACCTTACCCTTACCTTTACCCTACTCTTACTCTTACCCTTACCCTACCCTTACTCTTACTCTTACTCCTTACCCCTACCCTACCTTACTCTTACTCTTACCTTTACCTTTCTTTTACCTTACTCTTACCCCACCCTTACCCTTACTCTTACCCTTACTCTTACTTACTTTACTCTTACTCTTTACCCTTACCCTTACCCTTACCTTTACTCTTACCCTTACCCTTACCCCTATCTTTACCCTTACCTTTACCTTACTCTTACCTTTACTCTTACTCTTACCCCACTTACCTTACTCTTACTCTTACCCTTACCACTTACTCTTACCCTTACTCTTACCTTACCCTTACCCTTACCTTACCCTCTTACTCTTACTCTTAATTCCTTACCTTACCCTTTACCTTACTCTTACCCTTTACCCTTACCCTTACCTTTTACCTTACTCTTACCCTTACCCTTACCTTTACTCTTACTCTTACCCTTACCCCACCTTTTACTCTTACCCTTACCCTTACCTTACCCTTACTCTTACCCTTACCCTTACCTTTACCTTTACTCTTACCCTACCCTGACGATTTCGACGATCGACGACGAACGATTTATTGACGACGACGATCGACGACGATGACGACGACGACGTGACGATGATGACGATCTTTGATTCGACGACGATTTTACCGAACGACGACATCTTTGACTTGATCGATTTCTTTGATTTGACGGATGATGAATCGACGACGATTTATCGACGATCTGTGTTCGACGATTTGACTTCGACCTTTGACGATTCGACTTCGACGACGATCTCGACCGAACGACTTTGTCGACGAAATGACGACTTATCTGACGATGACTTTGACGACGATGATATGATGGATTGACTTGACGACGACGACTTTGATCGACCTTTATCTTTTGACGATTGATTTGACGACGATTTATCTTATTTCGACGATTTCGACTTTATGACGATTTGACCGGATCTTTGACGATTGATGATTTCGATCCGGACGACGACGACGGACGGATTGACGACGATTCGACTGACGACTTCGATGACTTCGACTTTATCTTCGACGACTTTGACGATTTTATCTGACGACTTCGACGATGATGATTGACGACGGACGACGACGATGATGATCTTTATCTTTATCGACGATGGACGACGACGACGACGGACGGACGATCGACGTGACGATTGACGATGATGACGACGACTGACGATTGACGTACCGGACGATGATGACTTATCGACGATGGATGACGACGGATTCGACCTTTGATGATGATGACTTCGACGACGGATGGACGACCTCGACGGATTGATGATTCGACGGACGATGATCGACGATTCTTATCGGACGGATGATGACGGACGACGATTTCGATGATCGACGACGAAAGACGGACGATGACGATTCGACGATGATGACGACGACGACGGATGACGACGGAGATGATTGACGATGGATTCGACGACTTTGACTTTATCGATGATGACGACGGACGACGACGAACGATGATCTTTATCTTT